TTGCAAATAAAATTAAATAATCAAAGTGAAAAATCTGGAAAAAGTAATAAATAGAAAAGATGAAATCCGATCACTATGTGAAAAAACTTGAGCAAATATAACGATATTAGATTTCACTTACACATTAAATAGTATTAGTTTGTAAATTACAAAAAAAATATATATATATATTTGGAGATGCGGGATTTCGATCCCCGAAAGTCATACTCAAAGCAGATGATAATACTGTTGAGCTACATCTCCCTTTGTTTTAATACCGAACAATTTTTTTCCTATATGAATGTTGAACGTAAATTTTATATACAAAAAAGTGATGAAAGATTTTAAAAAATGAATCACTTTTTTAAGTCTTCGATATTGTTTTTATTTTGAACAAAAATGTGTTTTTAGTGCATTTATATTAATTTTCAGTATTAATTTTTCAAAATAAAATGTTATATAAAAAATTGTTATATGCATATATATATATATATTTACGATCTGAAATGTCAATATGAGCATGTGATTTTAAAATCATTTATATTTACAATTACCTAACATATCTACGATACCTATATTAAAATCATTTAGCATATTTGTAAATAAGTATTGTAAATAAAATTAAATAAACAAAGTAAAAAATCTAGAAAAAGTAATACATAGAAAAGATGGAATCCAATCACCATGTTAAAAAACTTGAGCAAATATAACGATATAAGATTTCACTTACACATTGAATATATATTAAATTCAAAATTACAAAAATTAGTATTAGTTTGTAAATTACAAAAAAAAAAATATATATTTGGAGATGCGGGATTTCGATCCCCGAAAGTCATACTCAAAGCCAAATGACTGTTGAGCTACATCTCTCTTTGTTTTAATACCGAACAATTTCTTTCCTATATGAATGTTGAACGTAAATTTTATAAACAAAAATGTGATGAAAGATTTTAAAAAATCAATCACTTTTTTAAGTCTTCGATATTGTTTTTATTTTGAACAAAAATGTTTTCTTAGTGCATTTATATTAATTTGCAGTAATAATTTTTCAAAATAAATTATATAAAAAAATTGTTATATGCATATATATAAATATATTTACGATCTGAAATGTCAATATGAGCATGTGATTTTAAAATTATTTATATTTACAATTACCTAACATATCTACGATACCTATATTAAAATCATTTAGCATATTTGTAAATAAGTATTGTAAATAAAATTAAATAAACAAAGTAAAAAATCTAGAAAAAGTAATACATAGAAAAGATGGAATCCAATCACTATGTTAAAAAACTTGAGCAAATATAACGATATTAGATTTCACTTACACATTGAATATATATTAAATTCAAAATTAACAAAAATAGTGTTAGTTTATAAATTACTAAAAACAAAATATATATATATTTGGAGATGCGGGGTTTCAATCCCCGAATGTCATATTCAAATCCAGATTATAGTACCGTTGAACTACAACTGCCTTTGTTTTCATAGCAAACAATTTTTTTCCTATATGAATGTTGAAAATAAGTTTAATATAAAAAAATGTGATGAAAGATTTTAAAAAATAAAGTTTTAAAAAATCAATCACTTTTTTAAGTCTTCGATATTTCTTTTATTTTGAACAAAAATGTATTTTTAGTGCGTTTATATTAATTTGCAGTAAAAAAAATTTCAAAATAAAATAAAATGTTATATAAAAAATTGTTATATGCATATATATAAATATATTTACGATGTGAAATGTCAATATGAACATGTGATTTTAAAATCATTTATATTTACAATTACCTAACATATCTACGATACATATATTAAAATCATTTAGCATATTTGTAAATTAGTATTGCAAATAAAATTAAATAAACAAAGTGAAAAATCTGGAAAAAGTAATAAATAGAAAAGATGGAATCCGATCACTATGTGAAAGAACTTGAGCAAATATAACAATAGTAGATTTCACTTACACATTGAATATATATTAAATTAAAAATTAAAAAAATAGTATTAGTTTGTAAATTACAAAAAAAAAAATATATATATAGATTTGGAGATGCGGGATTTCGATCCCCAAAAGTCATACTCAAAGCCAGATGATAATACTGTTGAGCTACATCTCCCTTTGTTTTAATACCGAACCATTTTTTTCCTATATGAATGTTGAACGTAAATTTTATATACAAAAATGTGATGAAAGATTTTAAAAAATCAATCACTTTTTTAAGTCTTCGATATTGTTTTTATTTTGAACAAAAATGTTTTTTTAGTGCATTTATATTAATTTTCAGTAATAATTTTTCAAAATAAAATAAAATGTTATATAAAAAATTGTTATATGCATATATATAAATATATTTACGATTTGAAATGTCAATATGAGCATGTGATTTTAAAATCATTTATATTTACAATTACCTAACATATCTACGATACCTATATTAAAATCATTTAGCATATTTGTAAATAAGTATTGTAAATAAAATTAAATAAACAAAGTAAGAAATCTAGAAAAAGTAATACATAGAAATAATGGAATCCAATCAGTATGTTAAAAAACTTGAGCAAATATAATGATATTAGATTTCACTTACACATTGAATATATATTAAATTCAAAATTACAAAAATTAGTATTTGATGCGTCTACTTCCGGATCTGGAGTAAACCGGTTGTTGTGAGCTCAGATCTGCTTGAACCGCTTCCCAATCGTTACTAGACCGCGAGATTCCTGCAAAAACTCAACACCGGAGGTGTTTCCGGCGTAGAGCCTCCGACGCTCAAGTCAGTATGAGAGTGATGAAGAGATGCTGCGCAGCAGCTATGGGGGAGAATGAGAATGAATGAGAGTTAGGGTTTGGGTTACCTCACCTCCTTTATATAGGAGTGGATACTTACTTGAAGTGCCCAAAATGCCCAAGTCGGTGGACCTATAAGGTCCAAAATGCCCTGGGCGATTCGTCTCCCCTTGTTGCTGAGTCATCACGAGATTCCTTCTCATCCTTTGTAATGTGTAGAGCTTCGGATATGTTGCAAGTGTAGTGAATCGTCTTCACTGCTTTGATCCTCGAGATCGACCTCGAGAGTTAAGAGGTCGACTTATGAATATGTGCGATTTCGGAGGCTACGCTTGGTTTAACTCTGTGGTGAAGTCGTCTTTAGAGAGTCGTCATAGTGGAGTCGACTAATGGAAGTCGACTAAGGATACTGGGATGCCCAGGCGTTATGCTCCTGTTGTCCTTCTTCCATTGATGTCGACTAGTGAAAGTCGATAGACTAAGGTCGACTTGCGAGAGTCGACTAGACCAATTTCTGCCTCTTCTCGGTTGCTCTTGGTAGAATCGACTTTAGGGAAGTCGATTTGAGCACGTCGACAGAGTCGTGTCGACATGCGAGTTGTTCGAGTGGGCCATAGGTCGAGTAGGGAGCCTCTGAACCGGGGGTTATCCTTATGTGGCTATATCATCTAGTCCCCCCCCAAAAATTACTCTAAGCAGTCGACTGCTTAAGAGTGAATTTGGTGAAGTATAATTGTGTCGCTTTCCTACCAGTCTTGCTCGTATTGGCCCCTTCTACAACTCGTCTCGTCAATTGATTAGGGCGCACCTCAATCTCATGATTGCTTTTTGGATAAGCCTGACACTCTGACAGACCCATTTCGAATTTCAAATTTCAAAACCCTAAAGTGACGCGCGTCATCTCCATCGCCGACTCTTCGAATTCCGTGCTCCATCAGGGTCGTTGGTTCTCTTGATGATCCAACGGTCCACACCCGTCACCATCTCATATAAATGTACCTCAATCTCTCAAGAAACCACTTTTCGCATTCCCCAAACTCCTTGCTCTCAGATCCTTCAAGCTTTCCGGCGTTCTTCGTGCTTCATCTCCACCGGCGTTCTTCGTTTCCGGCTACCTCACGCCCTTTCAGAGTCACGCTCCAATAAGCCATTATGTGTAAGTTCACTATCTTTTATTTTTTTTTCTTCTAACGATAGAAATGTCTCCATTCAAACAAAATCAAACACAAAGTTCTTTGACAACAACAAGATAAAAGCCGAAGGCTAAGCCAGGGAGCACCACCACACTTGGTAGGCTACAAACTAAATAACAGTCTATCATGACTAATCACCATCAAAGGCAGAAACAAGCTTCTGAACCCTCCAATGGGATATGCACCCAAGAATCACATCTACAGATAAAGAATACAGACATAAGTGCAACAAAACAGAATAAACTAAGACACTGAACTGCAAAGCAGACCTATCTATGTCACTCTGACTCTGCTGCACCTCTTCATTGCTTGTGATTCTTGCCACTCAGTCCATGCCCCTTTCACAATGCCAGAAATTGGTCTCCATTCTCCTTCAAACACCCACAAGTTCCTCGATTTCCACAGCCACCATAGGATGTAGGTTGTGAGTTCTATTCTTGCTTCATTCACAGCTACATTCCTGATTGAGCACACTGATCCCCACCAATCCTCAAATCTGCTCCCTTCAGCCTCTAAACCATCCCAATTAACCTGAGGTTGCTGCCACACCTTTTTAGCTCTCCTGCAATGAAGTAGAACATGTTCCACTGTTTCCTCAGCTTCTCCACAGCATCTACAAACCACATCAAGCTCAATCCCTCTCCTTCTAAGGTTAACACTCACTGGTAAAGCTCCACTAACACACTTCCATAAGAAATGTTTTAGTTTGCTTTTCACCTGCAGACCCCAGCTTCTCTGTCTGATCTTCTGATTCCTCCTACCAGTGCTACTTCCCTAAGGTAGATCCATAGCAATGACCTTCTTATGACGAAGAAAGGCATATGAAGATGATACTGAGAACCTGCCCTGCACACCTATCTCCCATCTCCACTTATCACTCACCAATAAATCAATTCCCTGAATTTGCAGAATAGCATCATAATCCTCCTGTGCAATTAAATCTCTCACCCTTTGTGTATTCCATCTGTTGCTGTTGCCATCAATCAGTTCCTGGACAGTTATGTCTTCCCCAACAACACCTTCCTTTAAGTGGATTCCCCTGCCTCTAATGCCTGGCACCCAATTATAGTCACTAAGTTTAACCGAAGCTCCATCTTTAATTTCCACCTACAAACCCTCCCTCAACAACCCCCTCACTTTCCACCATGATCTCCACATCCAGGAAGAATTCTGATTCAACTTAGCTTCAAAAATAGATGATTTAGGGAAGTACCTGCATTTGATGATTTTACTCATAAGTAGTTGGGGTTGAGTGACTACCCTCCAGAGCTGCTTGACCAGCATTGCCTCATTGAACAGCCCCACTTCCTTAAATCCCAATCCACCTTTGTATTTTGCCAGTGTAAGGAGTTCCCATCTCTTCCAGTGCACCCCTTTGTTCATTTCCCCTCCACTACCCACCAGAATTTGGCAAAAATGCTGCTCACTTCTTTACAAATGCTAGCCAGCAGTTTGTAACAAGACATAACAAACAAGGGTAGAGCATTGAGCACTGCTTTAATCAATACTTCCTTCCCTGCAGAGGAAAGGTACTTGTTCTTCCAGCTGACTACTCTTTTCCTCACAGCTTCAGTCACACCAAACACTTCTTTCTTTGTTCTCCCAATACCAAGAGGCATGCCAAAATATCTGGTTGACCTCTGAATTTGAATACCAGGAAAAACACTACACACTTCCCTTTGAGTCACATCACTGGTGTTCCTGCTAAAGAATATGGATGATTTGGCTGTGTTCACTTTTTGTCCAGAGAACCTTTGGTATCTAGAGAGTACAGATAATAACACATGTGCCTGATATTTAGTAGCTTTACAGAAGACTAAAGAATCATCTGCAAAGAATAAGTGAGTCAACATAGGTGCCCCTCTAGCCACAGACACTCCCCTGAAAACCCCTCTATCCACTTCATTTGCAATCATAGAAGAAAGGACTTCAGCAACTAAGATGAACAAGTAAGGAGACAATGGGTCTTCTTGCCTAAGACCTCTCTGAGCATTAACATAACCTGAGGTGCATCCATTAATAATGAAAGAGAAGGACACTGTTGACACACACTCCATAATCCATTTCACAAATGTAGAGGCAAAACCCATCTTAAGCATGGTAAGTCTGATACATGGCCACTCAATCCGGTCATAAGCCTTCATCATGTCTAATTTAACTGCCATAAAGTTATGTTTTCCTATTCTGTGACGATTTAGAAAATGAAGCCCTTCATTAGCAATCACTACATTGTCAGTCAACAGCCTTCCTGGCAAGAATGCTGATTGAGCTTCATTTACACATTTATGCACACAGTTCCTTAATCTTCCAGCCAGGATTTTGGATATTATTTTGTACACCACAGCACACAAACTTATAGGCCGGAATTGGCTTAAATTCTCAGGCACAACACATTTAGGGATGAGTGTAATTAAAGTGTGATTCCAGTATGGGAGTAACTGACCTGATTGAAAGAAACTTGAAATGGCTGAGCACAAGTCCTCTCTGATCAATGGCCAGAAATGTTGGAAAAATAAGGCCGGCATTCCATCAGTACCAGGAGATTTCCTGGGATTCATGGAGAATAGAGCTTGTTTAATTTCTCCTTCTTCAACAGGAGCAAGCAACTCCTCATTGTCATCTTCAGTAATGGAAGACTGCACACAGTTCAGAACCCTTTCACCCCCCTCTGATCCTTCTGATGTAAATAGTCTCGAGTAAAAGTCTTCCACATGTTTATCAATCTCTTCCTTGGTCTCACAAACACTGTTTTGCTCAGTCATCAGCCTAGATATAACATTTGTCCTTCTCCTCTGGGTAACCCAAGCATGGAAAAAATGAGTGTTGTGGTCCCCCTCTTTTAGCCATTCCACTCTTGCTTTTTGTTGCCAGAATAGCTTCTCACTTCTGTTAGCATCATCCAACTCCTTCTTTATCCTATCCCATTCTTCCCAATTTCTTTGTCCCCTTCCTCTCTCATCTCTTGCAATTTCAAGGATAACCTCTGTCTATGTACTCTTTCACTGGTTCTGAACTCTTTACACCCAATTAATCAAAGCAACTCTGGTTTTCTTTATTTTCTCTTTCAGGCTGTACATTGGTGTGCCTCCTTGTTGCCCTTCCCACACTGATTGTATAATCTCACCAATCCTTGCTCTGCCCAACCACCTCTTGTCTAGCTAAAATCTACCCTTCTTCTGTTGGTTTTCAGGAGCTTCTTCTAATAGTAACATATGATGGTCTGAAGAGCTCTTGAACAAGGCAGTAGTTTGAGTCAGTGGGAATTCTTCACTCCATCCCAAAGAAGCATATGCTTTATCCAGTGCCTCCTCAACAAATCCCTCATTCTCTCTATTATTGCCCCAAGTGTAGTGGTATCCCTTTCTGAGCACCTCTTCCATTCCCATTTCAGCAATAAAATTTTGGAATCCCCTCATGCTTGCTTGAGTTCTCTGCCTGCCTCCTCTTTTGTCCTCCATCTTAGCAACATCATTCCAATCACCAATCATACACCCTCTGTCCCCCCATTTGTCATTCTTCCTCTCTAGTTCACTCCACTGAATTTCTCTAGTCCCTCTATCTGGGCTTAGGTAAACAAAAATAGCCCATCTAAAGCTTTCATTACAATGAGTTCTAAATTCAACCTCAATGCTGTATCCATCATAGTTCATATTTTTAATCTCCACTTCAGGAACCCATGTAAGCAGCAATCCTCCACTCAGCCCTCTTGGAGCCACCATTACATTTCTGTCACCAAATCCCAAATTTTTGCAAACAGTCATAGTAAACTTATTAGTATTTTTAGTTTCTGACAAGAATATAAAATGTGGGTGATGGAGTCTAATGGACTCCTTGAGCTGGGAAATTGTAGAGACCCCACCCAGGCCTCTACAATTCCACACCAGAGCTTTCATTGGTCACCTTGGGGCCAATTGAGGCTGGCCTTCTCCACCTTTTTTGGACTACTTTTTGCCTTCTTTGGTTCTGTTCCTTCTTCTCCACCTTTTTTGGACTAGTTTTTGCCTTCTTTGGTTCTGTTCCTTCCACCAAGTTCTCCTCCTCCACAGTTATTAGGGTTGTGCCTCCCTGCCTTCCCCTTTTCATTCCTTGCAATTGGATCCCTTTACTCTCCCTTTGGTTCCTCTGTAATCTGCCTACTTTATTGCCAGATCTCTTCCAAGTCTTCTGTTTGGAGGATGTGCTCACTTCTAGCTTACTCTCCACTCCCATAGGCACCATCATTAGACTCTGGTTAGGCAGCTCGGTACACATCTCCTCAGGCCACACTGGTTCTTGTTCCACCACCATTATTGGTTGATTAATATGTTGACTCAGATTGGTACTCTTCTCCCCAGTCCTTCCATGAGAGGCTGCAATGTCTTTTCTTGATGAGCTAGACTCCACCATGCTTGGGTTCTTAGGTGTATGTTCAGCTCCAGTTCTCATCACCACTTCTTTGCCTGTCACTCTCCTCTCTAGCTGGTTCTCTTCTTTCTCCTGGGAATCCTTAGTATTGTCCTACTCATCAGATCTCCTCTGCTCCCTCTCAAAGGATTGGCTAGTTTGACCTGGGCTACCAAAGTTCTTAAACTCCCCTGCCTTAAGCCACTCTCCATACTGCCCTACTCTAATCTCCTCCTTTTCAATGTCCTCTTCTTTGCTAAGACAATCCCTATCCACTTGCCCTAAGAATCCACAGTAGAAGCACAGGTTGACCAGTCTTTCATATCTAAAGCTAACTGTAATAAATTGCTCACCCAACCTCAAGGTGGTACATCGTGGTATAGCCTTAGAAACATCCACTGCTGCGAGCAATCTAATAATGCGCCCTCTTGCTCCCAATGCCGTTGTAATTGTCACATTCTTCACCTTCCTAAACACCTTCCCCAATTTGAGCCCTACTTCCATACTCAACCATTCTAGAGGGAGATTGTGAACCTAGACCCACATATTAACTTCATCGAAACTACTATCTGTCTCCCTTATGCCTTTCCTCCACTCCTGAAGCACTAGGTATTGGTTTTCGAAAATCTAATTTGTTCCCAGCAGGACCTTCTTCATATCCAATCGGTTTTCAAAGATGAACTGGAAATAGTTGTAGCTAATTTCTCTAACCTCCATTCCTTGCTGCATTCTCCAGATGCCGGCCATTGTACGTTTCAGCCCAACCAATGAAGCTCTTCTATTTCCAATAACCTTCTCCATAAGACTGCGCTTACACTCATCAACACTATTCTTGATGTCGTCGTTGGCAATATCAATCACGTCACACTCCACACCTGCTAAAGAAAATTTTTTTAGTCGATTCGCCATCTCCTCCTCAAACTCTCCTATTTCTTCTCTGTCACCCATTTTGTGTGCGGCTCCACTAACCCTGCCGCCCTCCTATGAATGATACTCACTCTTCCCAAACAGTCTTACTGCGCCCTCACCCACTAAGGAATCTATCCCCTCACCCGACGGAATCTCAGATAACCCTCACTCGACGGAATCGCACTCTCACCTGAGAGAATTTATTTTTACGAAACCCAAAAATTTCCAAATGCTGTTTTGAGCCACACTATCTTTTCTCACTTTTCGGTTTTCTGTCAATTTTTCCCTTTCTCTGATTTTTTCTGGATTCCCAGAACTTTCGAAGTTCATGTGTGTTCTTCATGTTTTTCGAAGGTTTTCTTGTGGGTTTTTGTGTTGGATCTTTATACGTGCATACTTTTCTTGGATTTTGGTTTCTCTTCTGGTCGTCGTCTTCTGGCATATGGTCGACTTCTCGCCTGTTAGATTTTCCTTGACTTAGTGGTCCTTTCTCCTTTGTCCCTTTCTTAAGTCGATTGATGCCCTTCTTTCTTCCGTCGACACTCATGAGTCGACTTTGCTTGTTCCGACAAGCTCTAACTCGTAATTTTTACTAACTTCAACCTCCTACTTCTTTTTCTTTTCTTAGCTTCCGACTCGTCTCCCCTCTCTGGCTCCCTCGGTCAGCAGATCAACGACTATACTCATCTTGTCGACGAGGGTTCCAGTTCTGATTCCGTCGAGGTGACCGGCTATAAGATGGTTTCGCTGCCTTCCCATTCTTCTCTCCCCCTCGCCACTGCTTCCTTCGCCGACTGGGAGCAGCATGACAAAGCGCTCTTGGACGGCGGCTTAGTCGACATTGTGAAGAGCCCTCCTCGAGGAAATCTTCCTCGTCTCGATCTCATTCCCCGAGGTATTCCTCTTAGGTTCTTAGATATCCCTGTTTATAGAACGAGCCCTGTATCTGTACCAATAGTTGCTCCTCTTCTCGATTCTCAAAATACTGTATCTATAGCTTGTCCCCTAGCTAGATTAGCTGTTCTAAATCCGTTTTGTTATGCCTCTGCAGCCGAAGTCGAGGGTTTCAGAAGGTTTAGTGGGCTTCCATCGGATTGGGAGTTAGTCGCCCTGGTCTTAATGACGACTTCGCTCACCCTCCCCCTGGCTGTCACACATTTTTTATAGATCAAGTCGTCTTTGGTCTCCGCTTCCCTATCCAGGATGAGCTTCTGTTGATTAGTAATTTGTATAATATTCCCATCAATCAGTTTTCCCCAAATGCTATTCGCATCATGATAGCCTTCATAGTTGTTTCTCGAATAATACTCAAATTCTTTTCTCCCGAGTTTTTCTTTTACTGCTACGGTTACCGTCTTTCCAAAGGCGCCCATTGTTTGGGTCGTCGTGCTGGTGTTACTTTCCTTGACGATCTCTCGTCGAACGTCACCGAGTGGAAGTCGAAATTTGTTTTCATTCGACCTGCTTCTGGAATGTATCCTTATGTAAATACGTGGATTACCTCAAAGGTAAAGCAGAATAAACGGCCTCGCTCTGACGAGTTTGCCCAGTTGTTGTCTGAACTTAATAAGCACACTTCCAGTGCACGTCAGTTAATAAAGGACCGTGAATTGGTCAATCATGCCCGAATCGTCATTTACGAGGATCTTCTTCGTCTCGATGACCCTCGTAAGCTTTTAATCATTCATCCTTGTGCAACTGTTTATAATTTTTGATTATTCGCATCACGACTGCTAAATGTTCCTTGCATGTTAACTTCTCTTTTGTCATTATTTCAGTTAAAGCGCTCAAACGTTTCGAGCTAAAGAAAAAACCAATCGGCCGGCCCGTCGACGGGCGGTTTTGCTCCTCTGTCTCGACCCTCGAGCGGATCCGGATCGAGGCCCGGCGCTGCATCTGCCGAGACGACAGCTGCCCAGAAATTGAGGGTTGAGAACCCTGGCGCTTCTCAACACAAGCCATCTGGCTCTGCTTCTCGCAAGAGGGCCCAAGACGATCGGGCCGCAATCCTTATTCCCGACAACCTGAAACGCCGCAAGGTCGACAAGGGCAAAGGAAAAGCGGTCGAGAAGAAGGCCCCCTCCCCCATCACCGTCAAAGACGTGACGGTTAAGATGCCCTCTCGGCTCTGGAATCATCTGGAGCCGTACCACATGGCTAAATACCTCAACTCCTTAATCCCTGAGGTCGACAAGGAGTGAGTCGATGGGAACCTGTATGAGCGCTCGAACTACACTGTGCAGTGTCTCTCTCGGGTATTTTCCTATCCTTCAATCGATTCGGTTTTGCATATTCCTTTTAAACTTGATTCATCTTTTTCTCATCTGTTTCCCATGTTTTTCCGTAGTTCCTGGCCGCGGCGCTCCCCTACTTCGAGGAGACGTGCAAGGCTCCTCTTGCCTCCACTAAGTCCCTCGAGGATAAATGCGAGGCTCAGCGCCAGGAAATCGAGGCGCTGAAAGAGGATTTGGAGGCCTCAAAGGCCCTGGTCAACAAGCTGAAGGCCGACAAAGCTGTGTTCCGGCATTTGAACGACAAGCTCAAAGCCGACCTCGACAAGGCTCGTGACGAGGCCATGGTCGAGAGGGAGAGCGGCGTCGAGGAGGGGCGCAGGACGTTTTTGAAGTCCCCGATGGGCGCCGTCTTCCTTGAGACCTATCGCCAGGAAGTCGTCAAGGCCTTTTGCAACTCTCCAGCCTTTCTCGACAAGCTCTGCCCCGCCACCCTTCAGTATTTCGAGCATACTTTTGCCGCCTGGGAGGCGGTGGTGTCGGGGTCCGAGTTTGAGGGGAAGCTCGATCGTGAGGCGGTTAAGGAGACGCTTCCCGATCCCGAGGGCTACGAGGGCGATGACTCTCTCCCCGACGATTATCCATGGTGGTTGGGACTCGAGGCTTGGGCCATCCGCAAGGCTGGCTTGAGCACGCAACTCGAGATTCCTCCCACCCCCTTGTCCGGTCTGATCGAACTAATCGGGGCAAGTGGAGCTAGTCGCGAGGAGGAAGTCGAGGCGGGGGATGTCGAGCAGCATGGCACTGAGCCGCTTGTCGACAAGGATGCTGAGGCAGAGAAGACTGCCACGATTTTGGAAGGTGGGGATGACACTGCTGAGAAGTCGGATGCCGAGTCTTAGCAGTGTTTGTCCCGGGGCTGTGCCGTTTTCGTTTTTTTTTTTCTTTTATTTGCAGTTTTTTCTTTTTCTCGTCTTGGCCCATTTTCAAGATTTGTAAGGTCGAGACGGTTCAAAATGTAATGCTTCTCGTTTATCAATATGAAATTTATCTTTTCTCTTCCCTGCTTGTGTGAATTGTTCTTCAAATTATCTTGCTGTTATTTTCCGTATACCTTCTCCCCAACCCTTTCTTGCGAGCTGGTCGAAGTCGAGCAATGATTTTAGCAGCTTCATAGCTGATAAACGTTAAGTTTTTCAACTCGTCTTCTCCCCAACCCTTCTGGCGAGCTGGTCGAAGTCGAGCAAAGATTTTAGCAGCCTCATAGCTGATAAACGTTAAGTTTTTCAACTCGTCTTCTCCCCAACCCTTCTTGCGAGCTGGTCGAAGTCGAGCAACAATTTGAACAGCTTCTTAGCTGTGAAATGTAAGTTTTTCAACTCGTCTTCTCCCCAACCCTTCTTGCGAGCTGGTCGAAGTGGAGCAACAATTTGAACAACTTCTTAGCTGTAAAACGTAAGTTTTTCAACTCGTCTTCTCCCCAACCCTTCTTGCGAGCTGGCCGAAGTCGAGCAACAATTTGAACAGCTTCTTAGCTGTCTCAATGTTCGTTGTATATTACATAGTAAAGTTGGTTGTACAAGGGTTTTCGTTCTTTAAGTGTGAGTTTGGTAATGTGCTCGAGACTTTATCCGAGGATTTCAACCTCCGTATTCGAGTTAGTCGTTTTTTGAAGTTGGAGGCTTCATAGCCTGCTCGAGATTCCACTCGAGAATTTACAATTCTGCAGTTGTGTGAATCGACTTTGTAGTCGAAGGCTTCGTAGCCTGCTCGAGATTCCACTCGAGAATGTGCAACGTCGTAGTTGTGTTAGTCGACTTCATAGTCGAAGGCTTCATAGCCTGCTCGAGATTCCGCTCGAGGATTTACAACTTCGTAGTTGCGTTGATCGACTTCGTAGTC